ATCTTACGAACCGATGGTTAACCGCGGTTATTTCAGCTGAAACCATAGCAACACAGCAGAAAAACCGACGGTTAACCTCACAATTAACCGGAAAAATGGTCGGTTAACCATCGGTTCTTAAAATAACCGTGGTTAACCGCCGGTTTTCGTCCGGTTTCGACGACATGGGAATATATCATTTTGGAGTTTTCTTTCAACAAATTCCTATTGGCAAAAAAACTTTCAGGGATACGAAATGTAAAGGGGAGTAGTTTATCTTGAGTCTTGAGGATGGATGAAAGCTCCTGGTGTAATAGACGAATAATAGCTTTATCATCATATCGCACGTATTGATTATAATGTGAATCAAACTTCAAAATCTCTTCAAAATCGTCATTACATCATAGCAATATTGCTATCTTGAGCTTAAAAAGTGTCAAATAGTGGAATCTTTCACTAACGATTGTAAGATATAGAAGATACACACAAAACTAATATCTTGTTTTAGCATTTAATGGACCTTCCTCTGTGGTCTCATTTTCGGATAGAAAAAATGGAATAATTGTATTTTATTCAAACAGCAACATTCCTTTCTGTTGCTCGACAGTGTCATGTTCATGGAGCTAACATTTTGTTTACTCTTATTATATGAAAAAACAAGCTAAAATATTTTTGAAGAAACGTACATCAACATATAATCAACCCAATTTATTGTCAATACATCATCGAACTTGGATTAATTTTAAAATATTAATTCCTTATTTGACAGTTTTTATCTTCTACTTCTTTCTAGTTTTTCTGTGAGTACTTAAAAACGATCTAGTGAACGTACTTAGTCCAACGTATCCGAATGGCACCCTGCTATCGATAATATCACAAGTATCCGGGATGTATTATGATACTTGGGTATCTCAAAATACTTTTTGGGCATCCGCCCAAGTACCTTACATATTTCAAAGAGCTAAGACGATTTTGGATTAATTATTTTTGAATAAGCTATCTGCCACTGGTCACATGATACTTTTGTGCAGCAGACAACTCGATTTTGCATATGACAAGAGAGTCCTTTGCGATTTGTGGAATACATTGAACCTGCACTATGACTATTTAAAGAATCGTATGAACGAAAAATATAAGTTGTCGCTAAAAAAGTGTAAACATCTTTTTCCTATAGATGATAATAATAGACAAGTGACAATTGGCTGATTCTTATTCTGCATATTGTAACACACACTTGTTTTCACCAAAAACATGAATTCAGGCCTAGTGCTCGCTCGAAGCTACACATAGGCAGGATCAGGACGTTGGAAAAATTGAGAGCCCATTATGGTACCGTTTAACAGTTTTCTGCATGAGCAGCCGCGCTAATAAAGAGTTCTAGTAGTAACCATCAGTTCACCTCATCGAAATTCTTTCGATTCACGTCGTCGTTACTCAGCTCAAATGTGCGAGGCCCAGCTGCGGTAATCGAAATTAGAAAAATTGCTGAAACAATTGTAGTACGATCAAAAATTATTGGAAGTTTACCTGGGAAATTGACTTTCAAGCGTTTTTAGGTGGGCCCTCACCCGTTTTTCTTCTAAGTTTGAAGAGGACACTTTGAAGTGTGTATCCTGTAAGTTTTTAGGTTTCCGGACTTCTAGTTTTTGAGAATAAATATTTTTTAAATTTTTCCTCGACATTTTGCCCGGCTTTAAAAATTTCAATAAAATTCTCAGATTTCTACTTATAACCTCAATTTTGATGTCAGTCGATAGAAGATATCAAGATGCATCTATAAAAGATTCGGTCAAGTTTTGACTAAGTTATTCCGCTTTGACGTGCCCCATGGAATTTTGGGGCAAAAAAATACCTTGAACCAAATTTTGCTCGAAGACAGCATTTTCAACGAAAAGTGTGAGTACAGAATTGTTCAGAATCAGACTCTTTGGAATATGGACGAAGAGTTTTTCAAAATTCGTGAAACGGGATTTTTTAACTGTCCTGGACGATTTTGCGCTTGAGACTCTGAAAAACTGGTCCTGAAAATCTTTGTTTTTTTTAATTTTTGACACTTCCATTCGATTCCCTATGTGAAAGTGTCTATGGTCTATGAGTCAGATTTTCTGGACACTTCTAGCTCAGAAGAAAAGCGAGAATATCGTCAAAACTTGAGGTCCTTTTCTTGAGCGCCTCAGTATTATAAATTTTAAACATTGAGCTTAAGAAATTTAGCGGCAGAAAAGAATTATCCCATAGAAAACGATATTATAAACAACTTTTACACTCACATTTCTGCTCCGAAATGCTTCCCCGAAGTGAAACTGTAGATAAGAAAAAAATGAAAAACTTTTTTCTGGAAAACTACAGTCCGTAAACCTCCAAACTTTTTTCATATATATTTTGAAGTATGCTCTACAAACTGACAAAGTTTGCACCAAATCTAAACGGGGGGGGGCCTTAAGGCAGTGACAGCGCACGCGTTCTACGTTTCCACTGCTAACATCTTTCAAGATCGCTTTGTTTTGACAACATTGCCACAACTTTCGTTGGAAACTTACTGTATTTACTTTTGTGGATAACCAAAATTCCGCTCTTTCACATTTGTATCTAATGTTTTCGTACTACTAATTTATTTTATCATACATTGTTGAAGTCTAAATACATCTTTTAATTCAAAACAAAAAAAGAAATTAAGTACTGTTGTACTCAACGATTATTGTTAGTACGACTGTAACACGATTGGAATAATATGTATAACGCAACAGAAAAAATGATAGAAATATAGATATGAAAATAAAAAGTTACTTGTTCTATTAAAAATAATGATTTGTTCTATTAAGAGTAATTCTGTACAATAAAACTACTGATAAATAATAAAGAAAAATTAAATATGTATACACAAAGAACACACATTACTATACTCTTACACACAGTAGAACTATGAGAATAGTATAACAAGTTAAAAAGAGATACGACAGATGAATACAGTAACGATGACTAGATTCAATACAGAATACAATTGAACATAATTACCATAAATGAGAGAAAACATTTTAAATAATATATACCACATTGAACAAGAAATGTATATTATGTCTCAAACTGTATCCTCGGTATCGGGGTTCGAACTGACTTTCGTTTTTGTTTTGCTTGAGTACAGTCGGTATCGTCAGTTGTAGTTTGATCATGTCCATATTTTCTCTTAATTACCTTTGTTGTTTGTGATGCCGATGATCCTTGTTTATTTTTCCTTGATTTTGATGCATTTGCCATATAAAACTCATCGACAGCTAAACAGAAAAAAAGTTGAAGAAGAGTTTTACAAAACCTAAGTAAAACAGCAATACATTCAGATGCACTTACACGTACCGGATAGATTTGTCCTAACTTTTTCCTTTAGACGAATAATAGCTTTATCATCATATCGCACGTATTGATTATAATGTGAATTAAACTTCAAAATTTCTTCAAAATCGTCTGTCAGTCCATGTGACGTCGTTTTAGTAAATGCATTGGTTTTAGCTATGATCGGTAAATTCATCTCTCGGTCATATTGAATTATCTGCCCAAAATTAAACGATTTTAAATAATTGTCCCAGCTGACGCCATTTGCCTCCAAACAATCATTAAATTCCATCCATTCGACTCCAGTACTGGCAGGTGGAAAACACTTCATATAGCCTACTGTTTTATTCGGCTGATCATCACCCGTTGCTTTGTTTGTATGTGCAAAATATAAACCAGACGAAATTAACTTCTCGTCAAGTAGCTTGTTGATTGCTAAATCTCTATTTTTATTATAATGCGATGTGGTTTTGGAAATGTCACTTTTCATCATAACACATGAATGATGTAATAAGATTTTTACACAACATTTCATGATCGTAGCATCATTTGTTGATGCCTGCGAATCAGTTATCGCATCTAGAAATATAAACAGAAAACAACAGTGGCAATATGTTCCATTATTACCAATTCCAATAATAACATACCGTCTGAGTTGTACTTTTAGCAGCTTGAGTATTCATCTTTTAATGCATAAATTCATACATTAAAAGATGAATACTTAAGCTGCTAAAACTACAATTCAGACATTTATTGTAAAAGTCCTGCCATTAACGTCTAAATAATATACCTTGTTTTTTATTATTTGTTACTCTGTTCAATTCGGCCATGGTTCTGCGAGAAGTATTGTCGTCATTTAATCTTGTTATTGAATTAGTAATATCCATCAGTATACCAGTGATGTCGCTTACAGAATTAGCCTTTGGATCATCATCGAAACCTAAAGTGAATATTAAATCTTAGCAAATCACAAAATATATCTTTCATTATAATCTATATTGATATTAACAATTCTAACCTAGATCACTATGTGACATTTCATCAGGGCGTTGTACATTTTGTGTATCCATTGAATCTGCGCATGCACCCTTGCTCGTATCATGATTATTCGTATATGGTTCTTTATCCAGCACGAATGATGACGAGTGTAGAACAATGTTGTTATCATTGCAATGGTTTCCTGTTGTATGATTGCCTGGTGTTACCGCTATTGCAGTTATTTGTGTTGTAGACGGATTATTTGTTGGTAATGATGCTACATTACTTGTAGATGATGATAATGTCTGCAGTGCAATATCTCTCGAATCTAGTGACGATGGTTGTAGGGACAAATGTGTCGACTGTATAGCTGATTGAACATTACTCAATTGTGATTGTATCGGTAATAGTTGTAATAATGATGATGAACTGGCCGCCGTTTTATGAGTCCAATTTAGTGACTTAGATATGTCTTTGAGTTTATATTCTTTCTTACCATTTTCGAGTATTTCTTTGATTGCACCATCTTTGATCAATTCATCAATTCCTTCTTTCAAGTACGGTAAATCGTGATATTTATGATATTCTTTGATATAAATTGGGTAATTTAATAAGTGTTGACAAAACATAGTTGATAATGTGCTTGTAGGTGGTCTTGATGATTGTGCATATATATCTTCATATTCTTTCAATTGTACAGCATAAACATTCAATGTCTTCTCGAGTTGGTCACGTTCGTTTTGATCGTCTGGTGGTGGAATTTTTCTGTAAGCTTTGCTCACTTTGATTATCCATTTGTCTTCAAAAATCAATCTAAAACAAAAAATGACATAGATCACACTTTGATTAAAGCCGACTTGTTCAAAAAACTTGAATAAGTATGCTAAAGTTGCAATTGTACCAGCTGCTGTTACAATTGGAATTATATTACATTTTCTGTCCTTAAATCGCTTTGAAGTATGTTATGGACAAAGCTTCTTAAGTAAAATTGAAGCCGAATACAGTTATTTCGAACGAGGAATTCACTTTTTCTAGACTATACTCAAACATTAAATTTTGGCTTAACGAGCTCAATCTTTTGTTTACATTTTACCAGGTTAGTAACATTTTATCGTTTTCGGTTACAATAAGACCGAATCAGTGGTGGAATTCTAGCACATACATAGAATACGATACGTACTTATCCTTCACTAACACAGCCGGTGCGTCATCGACAACTGTTGATGGCAAATTGTGAAACAGCCCACCGTTTTTTGTTAACGTTGCTCTCGTAAATATATTATATGGTATCATTAATATTTTTCGACCACCTTGTTGTCGTTTCGTGGACTGACATGTACTTGTATTTAAAATCAATGTTGTACTTGTTGGTTTTTGTACTGGTTTAGGCATATCGAACAATTGTAATGCGACACCAAATAAATTCATTTTTAAGAAAGAAATTATAAAAACATTAACAGGTGTCGCAGGTAATCAAGGGCTTAAAAAACGTATACTGTTTATTATGGTTTATACAAAGCGCTGATGCGCTCTGAGTAGTCCATCCATTAGGTGGCTCCAAGGGTCTACATTTAATTGTGATCAGAGATCTAACAGTCCCTTTCTTGATTTCTAGATTTCTAGATTTCTTGATTTCTAGATTTCTAGATTTCTAGATTTCTAGATTTCTAGATTTCTTGATTTCTAAGTTTTCTAACCCCATTTTTGCCGAAATATACATCGAAACTTGAATTTCACATTTTGCTGCAAAAGCAAAGTGGACATATTATGAAATGTCTCCTGTCCTTGACATCAATTCGTATTTTATGAATTCGTAAAGAGAGCCGAGGGTTCGTATGAGAAATATGAGAGTTTACGGATTCGTTGATCCATTATCAACCGCTAGACCAGTTCGTAATACGAATTCGCTAATTCGTATTTGCGAATCAATCTAGTTCTCCAAGCACTGAACGCGAATTCGTAAACTGATTTTACGAATTATTAGAGAATTGATCAGCATCATGTTTGATCTATTCTCTTGTTTACGAATTCGCAAAATGAATTCGTAAAAGGTTTTAAGAGTATCCGTGCGAATTCGATACAGTTCGCATCAATTCGCTGCGAATTCGCAAATTAAGGGTAAAATGCGAATTGTGGCATGAATTTTACGGTTAAAAATTGCGATTCGTCTTTAGTCAGTTTGTCCACACATCTCATCTTTCCCTCTCAGAAAATGCATTTATTGCTTAATTGGGAGAACATTTTTTGCCTGAAGGGTTTACGGCGACGCTTTTTTCCGTGTCTACTGAGAAATGTAAAGAATCCGAGACTTATACAGTCGAACAATGCAAATGAGTCGACCTAAATCATTATTGTAGATGTGTTCAAAAAGTTGCTATCTTGCACAAGAAACAAGATTTCTTAAGATATTGATAAGAAATCGAAAAGAAAACCTTCACTTTGAGGATGTTCTCTAAAATATAGAAGGATTTAGTCCATACAGTTACCAGTGCTGAGTTAGAAAAATTTCAAATTTTTTCAAAAGAATCAGCTTTATATTTACAGTAGTCATAATAGTGAAATAAAAGGATGAATAATTTGTTGAGAAATGGTTGAAATCTGGCAATTAACTATCAAAGTTAAATGCTAGTTTTTTCCTAATCTGTTGACTAAAATGGCATGCTGGTAGATAGTTAACGGTCGATGTGAATTTTAGTTTTGAGCGCAAACAGTTAAATGCCTATTTTTAGTCCACAGTTCGTGGTGAAATAATGGACTGAAAGCGGTGACCGTTATCAGCCAGTTTTTTAACAGATTAAAAGTCAATTTTTTAGTCATACAGTTAACAGGCTATGTAATTATTAATCTAATTAGAAAAACTATATAATTCTCAGCATAAGTGCAGAGCGATATTAGAGGGAGTGCGAGGAAAACGTAGATCCTTGTTAGATTCACTTAGGCATATCGTCAAAACCATTTTTCTTAATCGGTTATGCGGATGAGAAAAGTCTCTTTTCCCATATAACTCATCAAAACTAAGAATTCCCTCTATGCAGGTAGTTGTAATTCAAACTCAGAAATGTCAAGGCAGAGGCATTTAAGAGGTGTCAGAAAAATCATCCGTTTCATGGGGACTACAGTCCTCAATGCTATCGAAATTGACTACAACATGTTCTCGAAGAAAAGACCAAGTAAAACATGATGTAACTAGGACTGAGAAAAGGATCCCCATGCTTCTCGGTTGAGCGTTTACTTATGCGCCACTTCAGGCGTTTTAATGAATCAGAATTTAAAGAAAAGTTACTTATGAATCATTATCTTTCGTTGTTGGCGCCGTTCCCACGAGTACTCGCGCGTTTACTGAAAGCGCGTCGGAAAAGCGCTTTTTTGGGCTTATTTTACGCGCTGGAGCGTGCTGCCTTCAATTTTAATATTTGCAGCGCAAGAAATAGTCTAATTTCGCTAAATTTCCCTATATACTTTACGCTAGGTATTACACCGTGTAACCATTGGCGCTTAACGGCGCCAATAGGAGCGTTGCTATGGACCATAAGAATAAGGGAAAAAAATGCATAGATTATGTCGACACCAGAGAAAAGTTAAAATCAAATTATAAGATTTATGCTGTCGGCATATATCATTTAATTTTATGCATAGAGCTAAATTTTCTCGGCAATCTGTTCACCGCGGCAAAAGTGACCAGTCTTCTAATGTAGACAGAATTTGTGCCCCCATTCTCGCACTCACGGGAACCGCTGTGTACTTACTCTATAAATTAGTTATTTTTGATTAAATTTTACTGTAAAAATGGTCCCAAGACCGTTGCAAGAAATAAGTGCCTTATATAGCACACGCTGCTTTCTTGTCTCATTTAAAATAAAAAGAATAAACGTAAATATCTTCAATCACACACGTGTCTCTCAAATAAGTGATATGGGTATATAAATTCTCACACTGACAAACGTTGGAAAGTATATAGCCTAAATATATACAGCAACAATACACGTGTATCTTTCACAAGAAGTCGTCCTTTTCCTGTAACGGAAACTGAAATGACCATAGGATGAAAGAAATCGAAGAACGAGTGAAATATTTCTTGCTTTCTTGCAAGGACTTATTTCTTGTTTCAAGAAACACAAGAAATAATCTTGTTGCAGGCAAGAAGGGCAAAAAAGGTACGTCTTGCTTTCTTGCAGCTTCTTGGATCAAGAAGTTCGACTAGGGTATCGACAATATCGCTGCGTCGTTTACTTAAGGGAGAACCAGCAGAGTATATCAAAACCAACATATCTATCAAAGCACTTAGAGCAAAATGACATTTTTCTTGTTCTTTCCCACTGATGATCAAAATATAGGTGATTGAAGAATATGTTATTTTGGAGCAAAAAAGCGTAGTTTCGTTGATCATCAACATTTATACAGGTAAGTCTTATCCAAAAGCAAAAGATGAATCAAACTGCTGATGTGTCTTATGAGACAAAAATTGTTGGCGACGAATCAAGCGATGATGCCAAAGTTGTCAGTGAATACATCGATTGTGTACAAGCATCCTTTGAAGAAACGGGTGGCATTGTTTCAAACACAGACAATCGAGATATACTCTGCGTTACATTTCGTAGTCTATTCTTGGGTTTATGACTCAATGTTCTATTGTCCACATTAAACCGATATTTTACATTTAAGACAGTCCAGTATACATTTCATTACCTCTTAGTGCTGCCATTAGCATATGCAATGGGTAAACTACTACAGGTGTGTTTACCAAGCAGATCATTTGGACCATTCTCGTTGAATCCTGGACCATTTACTGTTAAAGAACATGCGCTCATATTTTTAATGGCTTATGTTGCTAGTCTAGACGTAGCGGCAATCGATGTCATTACGATTGAAGAAAAATCCTTGAAGCCGACGTCTAGTTATGTCGAAAGATTGTTTCTTGTTATATCATCGCAGCTTTTAGGTTACGGTATGGCCGGTAATTATCTAAAGCATTCTATGATGCAACGTTTTTAAAATTGTTTCATTCATTTTAGGTGTTATGCGACGCTTTTTAGTTTGGCCTTCACAAATGATCTGGCCCACCGTATTACCGTACATTGCACTTCTTCGTACACTTCATGAACGAGAACTCCCGTTGTCCCATCGTTGGTTAAAACTGACTCGTCTTAGATTTTTCATAATATTCTCTATCGGCCAAATGATTTATTACTGGTTACCTGGCTACATAATGCCAGTACTATCTGCGTTTTCGTGGATGTGCATGATCGATCGAAATAATCGTCTACTTTCGCAGTTAACTGGGTATTACGGACTCGGATTGGGTTCATTTCAGTTCGATTGGTGGCCACTAACAGGCATTTGGCCATCATCGATTGTCGTACCACGTTGGGCACAAATAAATGTTTTTGTGAGTTTCGTATTTTTCTTCTGGTTTCTGATACCGATTTTTTACTATACTAACGTGTGGGACTTCCAAAATATGCCATTAAGAGGTATAAGCTTGTTTCTCCCAAATGGAAATTATTATCTGCCAAGCGGTGGCGTCGCTGTGAGCAATGAGAATCGATTGAGTATTACAAATGTATTCAGCGTTTACTTTTCATTTGCTTTCTTTCCTACTTTGATTACACATACCATCGTATTTCATGGAAAAGATATTCTGAAACAATTTCGTACATCACTGAAAAACCGACAAGATGATGTTCATTGTACGTTAATGTCGAAATATCCTGAAGCTCCCGAATGGTGGTACCTGATACTGTTCATTTGTTCGTTTGTCGTTGCAGCCATCGTTTGTCAGTACGGTCAGTTTCTGCCTGGGTATTTACTCTTCATCTCTTTGTCCTTATCATTTGTATGTCTATTACCCGTCGGTATTATGATGGGCGTGGCGAATTTATCCCTGACTAATGCTACTATTGCCAGTATAATTGGTATTATCGTACAACCTACAAATGTTGTTGGGTCATCAGCATTCTCAGTATTTACATCAGGAACATTTAATCAGGCTTTGAATCTATTAGTTTATTTTAAATTTGGTGACTATTTGAAATTACCACCACGTTCAGTATTTATTATACAATTGGTAGTAACCGTATTGTCCGCTTTCATTCGATTTACAATGACAAATTATTTATTTGGGCGTATCAACAATTTATGTAATGCAAACCAAGAGTGGTCATGCCCAATTTTCTATTCATCTACACTAGTGTTATTGAGTATATTGTATCTTCCAAATGATTCCACAAGTAAGGATAGTTTTATTGTTACAAAAATTTTGTCATATATAGCTTTACCTCTTTCCTTTTTTGTTTTTGTACTAATCGCGTTCTTCTGCTTTTTTGTATTCATTTTCTTTTCTGTTTTTTTTTGTTATATTCTTCTATGTACAGTTAAAAGAGTTATTTATTTTATTCGTCAGACATCCCAATAATAATGGAGTTCTTGCTGTCTCCCTCTGAGACATTAGCAGTCTTTTGATGTGTATTCGATACGATAAATTTGAAAAATAAAATATAGTATAAATCAAAGCAAAACAAAACTTTGCATATTTTTCTTTTTCACAATAATATATGTCGACCGTCAATTGTTGTAATTTTATTGACAAATCGTTTTGTGTACAACTGGCGTTGTTTAGCACGACCCGTTAATTTCTTAGGTTTATCCTCTTGTTTCTCAACTTTTGGTGTTGCCGATTTAACTTTACCGGCTCGTGATAATTGACCATGTATTTTTCCCCCGAGCAGCTTAACACTTGCGTCAATTGTAGCGCCTTGCACTAATCCAACAGTAACAAGTTGTTTGTCATCATCGTTCAATGGGATACCACTGAAACTTAATAAAATATCGTCTACTGTTTCGACTCCATATTCAACAGCAATGATTTCTTTAATGTCTTTGAGAGTGATGTCCTTATTTTCCAAATCTAAGGACAGTAGTTCTATGCCTAGAACTTTATGTCAGTAATAATTTTGTCAGTAATTACGCAAAAAAAATTATTGCGAAACCTTTTTCTCTCAGGTGTAACTTTACGCATTTGTAATTTCAACATAATCCTATGAATAAAAAGAGTAGTTTTTCAACCTGATTTTTAAAACTATCTCGAAACGTTTGCAATATAATCTGAAACATGCAGTTATTCATTCGTGGAGGCATAGAACTACTGTCCTTAGATTTGGAAAATAAGGACATCACTCTCAAAGACATTAAAGAAATCATTGCTGTTGAATATGGAGTCGAAACAGTAGACGATATTTTATTAAGTTTCAGTGGTATCCCATTGAACGATGATGACAAACAACTTGTTACTGTTGGATTAGTGCAAGGCGCTACAATTGACGCAAGTGTTAAGCTGCTCGGGGGAAAAATACATGGTCAATTATCACGAGCCGGTAAAGTTAAATCGGCAACACCAAAAGTTGAGAAACAAGAGGATAAACCTAAGAAATTAACGGGTCGTGCTAAACAACGCCAGTTGTACACAAAACGATTTGTCAATAAAATTACAACAATTGACGGTCGACAATGTGGACCCAACTCAAATCAAGCTTAATTTGAGTGATACACTATCTATTATTTGTAAATATTAAATATATTATTGTGAAAAAGAAAAATATGCAAAGTTTTGTTTTGCTTTGATTTATACTATATTTTATTTTTCAAATTTATCGTATCGAATACACATCAAAAGACTGCTAATGTCTCAGAGGGAGACAGCAAGAACTCCATTATTATTGGGATGTCTGACGAATAAAATAAATAACTCTTTTAACTGTACATAGAAGAATATAACAAAAAAAAACAGAAAAGAAAATGAATACAAAAAAGCAGAAGAACGCGATTAGTACAAAAACAAAAAAGGAAAGAGGTAAAGCTATATATGACAAAATTTTTGTAACAATAAAACTATCCTACTTGTGGAATCATTTGGAAGATACAATATACTCAGTAACACTAGTGTAGATGAATAGATATTGGTCTCTAGTAAAAAAAGTTTTAGTAACAAAAAATCAAGATATATCGGCAGGGGCGGGTCTATAGTTGAGAGTTTTTGCTGTGAGCAAGAACGCGGTGTGGAGTAGCCCTTTCAATTCTGCATCTTTCTACATACAAACTGTGTCTAATCTCTGTCTGTAGAAGAGACTATAATCATTTTTATACTTCTAGGAAAAATGGATCATTTATAAAAAAAATCGATCATACCCATATGACATGTGCGCAGTAAAATAACTGTGAAACCCAAACGATATGCATTCGAACACGTTAGGTGGAGCTTAACCATTACAATGTAGAGAAGGAGAATGGAAAATTTATCTATAAATCACAGTCGATTTTTATCGGTGATTGTCAAATACCAGATGCAACCCAAGCAGAAATAGGTCAAAGGAGACTTGCAGAAACAGCAGGTGCATAAATCTGTGTTTATGATATAATCATAGAACCTACACTACCAGGGAACAACTGTGTCCGTATTTCTCACTTTTCTCCGCCGGAACTCAGTTTTTATGCAATAAAAATCATATTCGAAATCATGAGTCGATCGATATATATCAGAGAAATTTTCGTTGATTTTTGTTTTGGTGATAATATCGCTAAGTTCTCAGTGACATTTCTTGTATCAATATTTTCCCCTTCGATCGAGGAAATTGCATCAGGATTGTTTGTACTGTTTCGCGGAGGATCCGCCTCTATCGAGGTATGGACGAAAGAATAAGAGGGATTTTTCTTTAAAGGATCTGAAATGAATGACCCGACAGTAACAATTCATCAGCGATGTTAGATTAAAAAGATAGCCAATAGTAAAGCACGTAACAACGCAGTAACCACAACAACAACAATGAAAGTAAACAAGCTAAAAGCAATGAACAACAACACGACAATACGAGATGTGAAAGGGATAGGGAGAATAAACATTTATTTTAATGGTTATACACATTTATTGTTACAACTTCAAATTTTGTAAATGTTCATTTATATCGTAACCGTCTCTATTTCCATTTTTCAATCTATGTATAATAGTATAATGTAAATAATCAGGAGATAATATGTCACGACTTCTGTCTAAATATGCAGTTGTTCCACTGATATTTTGATCATGTAGTGCTTTCATGGCATATTCATATATTGTAATACATTACCCGACTTACCATCCTCAATCGCTTTTTCCATTAATAGCATATGACCGAAATGCACTTGCGAGAAGGGTAAACTTTAAGGTTCTAAGTATAAAAATCGGATTGCCCATATAAAAAATGGGTATCATGAAGGGTTGGCTCACCGGTGATGCATTTTATGAGCGAAGTAATTTCAACTCTCGCTACCATAGTGACTCCACCTGTAAGTACTCCAAAACTAACATCTTCAGAGGGACACCAAAACTCCAGGATAACCCTTTTAATATGGGCAATCCGATTTTTATACTTTGAACCTTTAAGTTTGCCCTTCTCACTAGGGCATTCCGGCCATATGGTTTATATTCATTAAAATAGGCTTTTAATAACAAAATACTTTTTAAATCTGATATACCATCATAAACATAATATAGTAAAATATTTCCATTTGTTTTACGTTAATAGTGATTTGACTCCAGAATCTTCAATATACTATTCAAGGCTGTTGACAAATAACCTTAGTAATAACTGGGAATGTTGGTTCTATAGCACTACTGTAATCAACAGTATAAAACGCAAAATAATATTTTCGTGTTAATATATTAGCAACTATTTTCGACTTTATGATCGTGTAATATCATGATTGAATTGCTAGAATCTACTTTTCCGATTATAGAATCTTGTTTCTAACTAATAACTACCCGTGGTACCTTTAAAATAGCAAAAAACTGTCGTTTACCGCCCAGGATTTGCAGAAAAAACTTTGGAAATCGTATTAAGAGTATCGTTTTTCTGAAATCCGTATATATTCTAAAAGGTGACAGTCAGGGGTACAATATGGAACGTAAACTAAAAAAATAAAACACAAAAAAAAACAGTCTTTTCAAATGAACTGACTTTGCTGACAGGGGACGCCTTGAGCTTGAACTTCAGTTTTGCAGCAGGAGAATCTTTTGTGAGGCTCCTCTCCTTTACTCCATACACAGAGGATTTGAAGTTCATAACTTGGGTCCGTAGCTATTTTGCGTCATTAGCCTAGATTTTTTACCAGATTCCTCTCCTCCTCCATTCCAGAAGTTTCTGAAATCTTGTAGCTGCTTGGAAGAAAACTCATATTTTGTCATTTTATTTTCATTTGTGAATTGTTAGAAGAAGACTGCGGTTCACAAATGCTATTTTAATCTATTGCTGTAGATAAGTGTAAGCATCACGAGGAATTTTTCTGAAAGGAAAAGAAGGAAAAATATCTTTGAAATCTCCAGGTCTGACTAGATCAGAGTTATGCAATTTTTACTCAAAATTAGACGCTTTTCGCTCTTTCGGAATTCCAAAGTTTTTGACCTCGAAAAGTGGGTTTAGAAGGTCAAAACACACACATTCTGAATAAGCTCGACGAAGCGCATCTAACCATGTGTGAAACTCGAATAAAATAAAAGTACCGCTTAAGTTTTGAATTTTCGGAACCTTACATCTTGGAATAGTATACTCAGGTGTTTTGTCTCGTGAGGTACGCCATGATAAACCTTTCGCCAGGCCTTTGTTTATACGTAGATGGATGTCCTCCGGTGCCTATTTTTGAGAAACTGAAAACCGCAGGTCTGCATCTCTCTTCGTTCTAAAGAAATTCAACAAACGTCCGAATTCCTTCTTTTTCTGAAATGTTGTTATTTTGTAACCCACACTTTTCCTCTACATCAGGCTATGCTCAGCTAAAAATCCGAAATTTTCTCCAAAAAGAGGGTTTGTGGTACCCTTAATCGATGATCAACAAGCAGGACCGATTGAATGATTTGACGAAGTTCTGCAATAAGAGACACAATAACCGAGATCTTTTTTGGATTTGTATGATTAAAAGCATTGTTTTTTTTACTATCGGTGATGATCTCATGAAATACAAATGTAGTTTTTTATAATATGATTTAAATCACTTTCATTTACATTTAAAATGTTAAAAAGTAATTTGAATAAGAAAGTACTTAAAGCTTCTGTTTAGAAGGCCTTAATACGTTGGGACTTGTCCGTAGTAGTTCGCGTGCGACAACGGGCATGATTCTCGGATTCCTCACCATGACAGAAAGTCGATTTGTTGATATTGGAAAATAAAGAATAGGAAAAACAGACTGTTTGAACACCAAAATCCATAGCAATAGTGAACAATAAAGCATATCGATTCCACCACCATTTATGAATCACCGTATGAAAAATAAAGCCGAGTAAAAGCCAACTGACATACGTGCCTGCCGGTATTAAAGTGAACAAGCCTACTTGCATAAATATAATCGCTATGTGCACATAATTTAACCATTTGATTGTCGAATATTTCCATTGTATTAACCAGATAAGAACAGGTAATATAGCACCAATCAAAATTATATAGAGCATATGAGCATATATCAAATCTTTACGGGAAACATATAACAAACGGTTTTCTAATGGTTTGTAAGTGTCGGGACGAGACCAGTTAGATAGAAGAACCATACTGTTGGACTTTTTATTACAAGTATCATGTTACTATGCGAAAATCGGCCAAATACGATGTACCTAAAGAAAAATGAGTGTACCATCCTAACCTTGATCCTACAGAGCTCGAACACTGCTTGTTTTGTAGAAGAAGCTGTAGCATTTCAGATCAAGCGCAAAATAGACTTTTAGCATGGGCTTTTCCTTAATAGCAAAGCCTCTAAGAAGTTTTCTGTAGCATTTGATTTTCGGTAGACTTGCTAGAAAACGGTTAAAATTTGCCAGAAATCGATGAAATTATAGGACTATATGCACTTTTTCATGCTCTTTCCAGCGGTGTAGTTGAAATTGCTTTTCAAGTTGACAGAACTCTTGAAACTAAGCTTTTAAAATTAAACTCTTCCGTTTTTATAAGGTTTACGATCATAAGAAATCCATTTTTTAGAGTTTCTTTCTACTCAGACTTATTACTGACAGGTTCTTCTATCTAACTGGTCTCGTCCCGACACTTACAAACCATTAGAAAACCGTTTGTTATATGTTTCCCGTAAAGATTTGATATATGCTCATATGCTCTATATAATTTTGATTGGTGCTATATTACCTGTTCTTATCTGGTTAATACAATGGAAATATTCGACAATCAAATGGTTAAATTATGTGCACATAGCGATTATATTTATGCAAGTAGGCTTGTTCACTTTAATACCGGCAGGCACGTATGTCAGTTGGCTTTTACTCGGCTTTATTTTTCATACGGTGATTCATAAATGGTGGTGGAATCGATATGCTTTATTGTTCACTATTGCTATGGATTTTGGTGTTCAAACAGTCTGTTTTTCCTATTCTTTATTTTCCAATATCAACAAATCGACTTTCTGTCATGGTGAGGAATCCGAGAATCATGCCCGTTGTCGCACGCGAACTACTACGGACAAGTCCCAACGTATTAAGGCCTTCTAAACAGAAGCTTTAAGTACTT